AAGCAGCATCAGGATTTGAACCCAGTTCTGCTAAACCCAAAGCCCAGGCACTGCATGAAGAGCTGCCCGCCTTCCAATGATAAGAGGCCAGAGAAGTCCAGGGCTTACACAAAGTTTTCAAAATGTATTATTTTGGTATTGTGTTAAAATACACCTAAAATAAAATTTGCCCTCCCAACTTTTTTTCCATGTGCGGGTCAGTGTTACGTAGCACATTCATAACCGGCTGTCACGGCACACACCTGGCTCTGGCTCCACCAGGGCAATGTAGCAGCTTAACAAGGTCCTGGCTAAAAAAGCAAGCAAGCAAGAAAGAGGGGCTGGGGAGATGGCTCAGCGGAATAAGCGCATCCCTGGCAAGCGCAAGGGCCTGAGTTCAATCCCCGGTTCTGGGAAAAAAAAAAAGAAGAAGAAAGAAAAAAAGAGGGCTGTAGCTCAGTGTTTCAGTTACTTTTCTCTCATTGCTGGGACAAAATACCCAACACTTAAAATGAAGGAAGAAAAGGTTTATTTAGCTCAGTGTGTGGAGGTTTCAGTCCATACATGGCTGGCTCCAAGATAGGGTGGCACATGGCAGAGAGCAGCCACCCTCCCTTCTACTGCATTCAGGCTGTCCGCCCCAGGCTAAGTGGAGTCCTCACACCCACAGTCCCAACACTGGATCACGAGTCAGTCATAAATGCTAGAAGATGCCCCATGAGTGCCGGAGGCTTTGGGGGGATGGCTAGACACGGACCACAACACTCAGTACAAAAGCCCTAAGTTCAAGCCCCACTGTGTGGTGCAGCTGTCACCACCGGTCTTGGCCACCATTTTCATCCTGTAGAGCTGCAACTGTCTCTGACAGTCCCTGTCCATTCTCCCTTCCCCCAGCCCGTTTACTTTCTGTTCCTAGGAATCTCTTGCGAATGAGTTTGCATTTGCCTGCTCACGACTGGCTCATTTTGTGTTGCATAATGCCCTGAAGATTCGGCTGCATGGCAGGTGTTGGAATTCCCTTCCTTTTGAAGGCTGACTGTACATTCACTGTTTGCGTTGGCCACGTCCTGCATGCTCATCATTCACTGAGAGACACTGGCGTTCCTTCCATGTGTCAGCTCTCGGGGATAAGCTTGCTGTGAGACCATGACTGTGCAAAAACCTCTTCAAGACCTTGCTCTCAATTCTTTTGGATATATTTATTTATTATTTATTCAGAAATATTTATTCATGCTCCAAAATATATACACTTAACATATTGTATTTATTCTCCAAAATATATATCTTG